CTTTTCACGGCACACAGCACAACACTCTATTTTGATTTCTCTCTCTCACGCAGCAGCCTCCTCTCTGATTCACTTTTCTAATCTTTATTTTCTTATCAACTCCTATACCTAGTTGATTACTTATATAATATATATAAAATAACCTAATTTCCTTTTCTAATCTAATATGACTATTATAATATATATATTATATAATACACATAATTACAAATATATATATAAATATATATATATATATAACCATTGTGGGGACATATTTTCTGAAATACCAACACGTGGCATGGTGACGCCGACGTGTCAGCCGAGGTGCCACGTGCCCTGGTAGTTAAAGCCGAGGTAATCTCGGAGAAGCCGAGGTCACTCCGAAGATGTCGGAATCCGAAGATAAGGGACAAGAGTCCTGAAGCAAAGAGGGGACTTAATTAAGATAAGGATAAACCTCTTAGGGAGTTTATCTCTATCTCCTAAAGAGTCCAGAGTAAGTACTAAGATTGGGGTACATAGAAGTCATATTTCTAGTTGACTTGGATTAAGTATATATAAAAAGAGAGGCACCCCCGTGGGTCTAAGGTATGTAATTCAATACTTTGAGTATTCAGTTTAATATCTTGATTATCCTTGAGAAACATACTGACTTGATCGTCGGAGTGCCCCCGGGTGGAAGAACCACCGCCGGAGCTTTTCCTTTCTGTTACAGGTTGCTGGGAGCCATCTATTCTGCCGGTGCTTGGCTGCTGATCACTAAACGGGCAGTGTGGTCAGATTTTTACCACAACACAATTTGGCGCCGTCTGTGGGAACGAAGGAAGAATAGATGGCACTAACGGACAACAGGAAAATATTGGGGAATGACGCTCCCACTGGGAATGGCAGACCAATTGGCCTCGACATTGAAGGAGACAACCACGATTCAGAAGCCCGTGGCCAGGACCACAGGGAAAACGACGTACCCTGGAAGGCGACACGTCAAAAAGAACAAACCAAGGAACGTACTACAATGAAGATAACCTCCAGATATGGAGGGACAGGTGCCTACGGAGGGATGAGGAAGTAAAAGAGTTGGCGGACAAGTTGGCAGACCTTCAGTCAGTCGTCAACTTCAATGATGCAGAATAATGTTATGCAGCCACCATACCCGCTGCAAGATACGCCGATGCCAGCGAATAACACACAGAAGGAGGTAAGAAAAACAATCCCCGAGGCCCCTCAGCATACCAGAAGCGGAAGGCATTCACACCGACCTTCCAGGGAAGTCGGACGGGAAAAGCCAAGGCAAGAGGAGTCCCGACGGACACACCACATGAAGAATCCAGACCCCAAAGACATCGACATGTTCAGGGGCAAGTACTCACATTTTGACACATCCCACGAAGAAAAATCCAAACGACCCCACCACGAGGCCGAAAGCAGTGTACCAAAAAGACTAAAATCCAAAGACAGCCGAGCTCCAGGGAGGAGCAAAGAAGACTTGAGGGACTACCTCAAGAGGAGGCAACAGAATGGAGAAGCCGAGGTAAACTCCCCAGTGAAACCAAAGACAGCCTTCTCGGCGGAACTGGACAAATTCGAACCACCCAAAAGATTCAGTATGCCGAGGTTTCAAATCTATGACGGTAAATCAGATCCGAACTTTCATGTTGGGTTGTACCTAAATTCAATGGCGCTATAATAGCGGAAACGAGCCGTTGCTCTGCAAAGTATTCCCCTCGTCCTTTGGGGAAATTGCATCTGATTGGTTCCACAAGTTACCAAAAGGAAGTATAAAGACATGGGAAGGCTTGGCCGAGATGTTTTGTGGCCAGATTCGTAACCAACAAGCTGCAACCCCTGAGGGTTGATGCTTTGATGGCTCTACGAATCACCAAAGAAGAAGGCCTCAGGGCCTATGCGAAGAGGTACTACGAGGTGTTCAACCGAATACCTGAATGCAACCAGGAAGTAGCAGTCGTATCCTTCAAGAACGGCCTGAAAGATGACTGCCCACTACGGAAATCTTTTAGCAAAAACATTGCCAAAAAGCATGGAAGAACTCATGGCAAGGATTGAGAAATACGCCAGGGCCGAAGGAGGATACATCGGAAACAAGGAGGTGAAACAAGAAAAGGGAAACGGCTCGCCAAAGCGAGGCCGAGTCAACAATGGACCCACCAGACAACAAATAGAATTAAGAAATAAACAGGCGTAACCACGGTATTCCGGATCCACAATCCATTAAAATCTTGGATCGGATTCGAAATCAACCATATTTCAGGCTCCGGAAAGAGCACCAGGGGAATTCATGGGAAGAAACGTCGGCAGACGTTGCGCCTACCACAATGAAGAAGGGCATCCAACTCAAGGTTGCAGAGCCTTAAAGCACACTTGGAGGACCTAGTAAGGCAAGGCCTCCTGAGGGACCTGGTCGATGAGGCCAGACAAGGGAAGAACAGGCAAGGTTTGCCTCAAGCACCAGCCAGCACCCCCTCCCCCAAGCACAGCTACCACAGGCAGGAGAACCAAGGGTGGTCAATGTGATCCACTCAAGGGTCAACGAAAAACGAAGTCAAAGGAGAAACCCAGAGGGTAAGACATTTACAGCATATCTACCAAGTTGGGGACAAGGACATCGGCCGGAAGAATGCCAAGGGCCATAATAGCCTTTACCGAAGCCGACCCTAGAATTGGTCCAACCCGCATAATGATGCCTGGTAGTATCCCCTCCAGGTTGGGGAGTGCCAAGTAAAACGCATCCTAATAGACCAAGGCAGCTCCTGTGATAATCATACGTCAGATGTTACAAGAGTTAGGCCTTCACCCCGATGACCTAGAGCAATCAGCGGCCCGATGGTCGGCTTTAATGGAACGCCGACATGGCCACTGGGTGCAACAAGCTTGGAGGTACAAGCCGGCACTAAGAAGATCAGGACAGATTTCCTGGTCATTGACAGATCTCACCCTCACCATACAACATCATCCTTGGAAGACCGTGGTTGCATGCAATGGGGGCAGTTCCTCGACGTTGCATCAACTACTCTGTTCCCAACAGAGCATGGGATTGAAGAAGTCAGAAGGGATCAACTACAAGCCAAAAATTGCTCCATGGCAGAATAAAGTCCACTCTAGTATACGGGAGCCAAGAAAGCAGAAGTTGAAGATGAGGACATAGAAGTCCTAGAAGATGTTGGGAAAGAACCAGCCGAGAAAAGCGAAGAGCGCCTAAAGAAAATCCTCGTCCAGGAGGGCGACGAGAACGATTTTTTCTTCTCGGCTCCGGCTTAGCCAGAGAAGAGGAAAAGGAACTGGAGATTTTTTAAGGGCAAACATAGAGGCGTTCGCCTGGACACCCTATGAAATGCCTGGCATTGACCCCGAGGTCACTTTGCCACACGTCTGAACGTCGACAGATCGGCAAAAACCAGTGATTCAACGACCCGAAGGCCGACGTGATTGCACGTCGAAGCAAGTGGAAAGAGGATGGAGTAGACAGACTTCCTTGAAGCCAGGGCCATCCGAGAAGTTCATACCGACATGGCTGTCCAACACAGTAGTAGTAAAAGAATAATGCAAATGGAGGGTTTGTGTAGATTTTAACCAGCCTCAAACAAGGCTTGCCCAAAAGACAGCTTTCCTCTGCCCAAATCGACCAACTGGTAGACGCCACATCGGGACATGAAAGGATGAGTTTTTTAGATGCATACAGAGGGTACCACCAATTGCTATGTACCCTCCAGATGAGGAGAAAACCGCGTTCATCACCCCGAAAGGCCTGTACTGTTACAGGGGTAATGCCTTTCGGGCTGAAAAACGCAGGGATGCAA